GTAGTTGGAGCATTCTTTGGCACTGCCCTTCTTTGGGATTGGGATGTAGACTGATCTTTTCCAATCCTCTGGCCACTGTTGAGTTTTCCAAACTTGCTGGCATATTGAGTGCAGCACCTTAACAGCGTCATCTTCTAAGATTTTAAATAGTTCAGCTGGAATGCCATCCTCTCCACTGGCCTTGTTGTTAGCTATGCTTTCTAAGGTCCATTTGACTTCACTCTCCAGGATGTTTGGCTCAAGGTCAGCAACCACACTATCCGGTTTTTCTGTGACATCCAGATCTTTCTGGTATAATTCCTCTGTGTATTCTTGCCACCTCTTCTTGATGTCTTCTGCTTCTGTTAGGTCCCTTCCATTTTTGTCCTTTTTCATGTCCATCTTTGCACAAAATGTTCCTTTAACATTTCCATTTTTCTTGAAGAGATATGTTTTTTCCCTTTCTATTATTTTCTTCTATTTCTTTGCAATGTTAATTTAAGTAGGCCCTATTGTCTTTACTTGCTATTCTTTGGAAGTCTACATTAAATTTTTTGTAACTTTCTCTATCTCCCTTGCATTTTGTTTCCCTTCTCTGCTATTTATAAGGCCTCCTTGGCCAGCCACTTTACTTTCTTGCATTTCCTTTTCTTTGGGATGGTCTTTGTTGCTGCCTCCTGTACAATGTTACGAGCCTCTATCCATAGTTCCTCTGGCACTCTGTCCACCAAATCGAGTTCCTTAAATCTGTTCTTCACTTCCATTGTGGATTCATAAGGGATTTGGTTTAGATTATACCTGACTAGCCCAGTTTTTTTCCTACTTTCTTCAGTTTAAGTTTGTGTTTTGCTATAAGAAGCTGATGATCAGAGCCACAATCAGCTCCAGGTCTAGTTTTTGCTGACTGTATAGAGTTTTTCCATCTTTGGCTGCAGAGAGCATAATCAATCTGATTTCGGTATTGCCCATCTGGTGATGTCCATGTGTAGAGTCACCTCTTGTGTTGTTGGAAAAGAGTGTTTTTGATAACCAGCTTGTTCTCTTGACAAAACTCTTATTAGCCTTTGTCCTGCTTCATTTTGAACTCCAAGGCCAAACCTACCTGTTGTTCCTTTTCATTTGAATACACTGGCGTTACTCTCAAAATATCATTATGAGTGTAAGGCTTGAGTATTACATGCACTCAAAAGATCTAAATCTGATACAGAATTTGAAGTCCTTTTGAATATCACATTTTCTTAAAATGTCCTGTTATTCTGACATTCTTAGTATAAGGCTAGATTTATTTATTATTTTATTTATATTTTAATTGTTTATTTGATTTATATCCCGCCCATTTGGTCTGGTCCATGTTCAGGTGTGGCTTCCGCTTCATGTTCACGAACACCCACAACTGGATGAGGTGGCATGCTCCAACTCCTGCTTATCTTTCTCCTACCTGTTCATTACATCATGACCAGAATCCTATTGTCTACATGTGGCAGCATTAGTCCTGCAGTGTAAACTCTCAGTGCCAAATTGCTGCTCGCTAGCTAAGGAATCAGCAGTTGTATTTGTCTCACTCTGGTCATGTCGTATGGCAAGAAGAAAAAATTCTGGTTTCTGAACTGGTTGCTCTTTGCCACTGAAATTTATGCCATTGGATTGTGCTGTCATACACGTTCAGTTGGATTCTGGCTCGTTAATACTCAGTAGTCCCTTCCAATTAGAAATAATAGGCGCCCTTGATGGGAGCTATAGGTTCAAACAGGTAGAGGGCCAGTTTAATAATAGGGGAAGGTAAGGTAATTTAGAGGTGGGAGGGTGACCATGAATGCAGTGGTAGTACCATCTGAGACTTGTTACTGGATGCATTGTGGGTGCTCATCCCATCTTACTCTGAAGCCATGTGGAACACGGTGCTCCCAGGATGTCAGTCCTGCATCATTCAAAGATATGAGTAGTGCTTGCTGAACATGGGTCCTTTACAAGGCTAGATTTTCCTTCACCCAAAATAGTTTCTAACACAGTCTGTCAGTATTTCTTAGTGTACAGTACAAAATCCTTGTTTAGCTACAATTCTGTTTCCTTGCTCCTCCAGAAGCCAATTGAAATTCTTTGTTTTCTAAACCAGACATGCCATACTCTACTGTATGTTTACAACCTGCCAACTAACCGGGACAGCAAAAGTGTTTGCTACAGACTCCGGCGTTTGTCAGATAACTGTGGGGGGAAAGTATTGACTATTTCTGGCAGCAGTGCAATCCTCCGCTTCTTAAACCAGGATAGTGCTGAGCGAGCTCAGAAGAGAATGGAGAATGAAGATGTCTTCGGCAATAGAATTGTTGTGTCTTTTACACCTAAAAACAAAGAGCTTACGGAAACCAGGAATGTGAGTGCTACTGGAGCAGAGAAAGTGAAATCTCCGAAAAAAGTGAACAAGAACACAAAGCTGTGCCTTGTGAACAAAGAGTCGAATGATCAGTCTTCCACCACCAAAGTTGTAACGGGAAAAGGCCCGACGGCTTCAAAGAACACAGGTGTTAAGAGCTTACAGGTACTAATTTCAGAATTCCCACTAAGATCTGCTAAGTGTAGTCAATAGTACAGTCTCATCATGGGTTGCACATAACTAGAGCGAAAGGGCTTTAAGTTTATAAATATTGGGCAGGGGAAGGCAGAGGTTCCCCACCTCTGGTTACTATCATTTCGGAAGCTTAATAAAGCATTTCATATTTCTTTGTTCATAGCCATAAAAGCTAGCAGAATAATGCCTTTGAGGTGTTTTTATTGAAGTAGTCTGTCTTCCATAACCATCCTTCTTTATCTTTGATTATTTTAGGGGCATGTAAGTATATGTTCCTAAATATTTAATACAGATAGATTAGAAAGTAAAATTTTAAAAAAATCCAGAGGAAGACGCTAAAACCTTTGGGAAAGAATCCATAAGAGTCCTTGAACAAGCAGAAGCACTTTTGCTTGCACATACGTATTTATGCATACGCAATAATAAACCATAACCATTATTTTTTATTGTAGCATTTTTTCCAATATCTTAAGTCATCCACATTTTCGTGTACATTTCCGAAATGTTTACTCTATGCAGGAGTTTATTTATGTACCAATTACATGTGGATAGAGTAGAGTGGAACCATGTTGCTTTCTGTGTGTCACACACACCAAGCTCAACACCTGCATATTGAGTGCCTAGTTGTATTCAGCTGAATGTATGTTACGCAAACGATGTGAATGCTAAGAAAATGTATCTTTTAAAATCAGAACTGTTTTGATTTCCACATACTTAGAACTGAATTCTTAAATCATCTTGTTTGTTGATTTATATGTTTTTCTTCAAGGAACTGTGTCGTCTAGAGTCAAAAACTGTGAGAAACTCTGAGAACCGCCAAGGCCAGTTAAAAGAGGATGTTACTGCCTTGCAAAACAACTCTAATGCAGCAAACTGTATACCTGTAGCAACCAAAAAGGCAGGAGAATGTCTTCATAAAAACAGTCAAAAGTATGTCAGGTGTGACTCAGTTTTTGTCGTAATATGAGCCAGCTTGATAACTTAATAATAGCATTTTTCTTTAATACAGGAAAGATTTATTTACAGCTAGAAGTGTCAACAATTCCCCCGTGGAGAAAAAAGAAAAGGATGATGTGTTCCAAGTTAGCTACCCATCTGCTTTTAACATGCTCGCCACATCAAGGCAGCTCAGTCCGATTCTAGTATCTCAGAGCTGCTGGTCTTCCAGGTAACTATATCAGCTATAGTTGCGATCACTGTTCACATTTAAGTGACTTTGGCATTATACAGGGTTACTCCAGCTGAGACCTTCAAAATATGTTGGCCTCTAGTCCAACTTGGCTGTTGGTCCTATTGAATGGGGAGGACTTAACTGCAGACCCTTGGGATCCAGGATGGCATTACAAGAATGGCATTTGGCTAGAGCTTGAGAGATTGGAGGCACTCGTCTCCCTGAGCCATGAAACACATGGCGCACCCTTGAGCCAGTGACTCTTTGCTGTTTGCTTCATTCCACTGTGCTCCTCTGAGTGCTGAAAATGTGCTACTCATTGGCTGGATTCCTGGGCAAGTAAAAGAGACTAGTTCTTTGTCTAGGAGGAATAGAAAGATAACACTGACTACCCTGGAGGATTCCTTTCTGTAATATGTGACCTGGGGAGACATGTCTTTCCCATCTCTGGGAAAGTGTGTTTTGAGCACAAAAATATGAGACTAGTGTCTTCTAAGGGATGGCAAAGGGCGTTTTTACTACCTTTTGGACTAATCTGTTCAGGTGAAGAAAAATGTGCAAACCCAACCCATATGCTTTGAAACAATCATATTGGACATTTTAAGTCTGAAGTGTTACTCCATTTAAAAGAAAGTCTCCATTATTTTGAGGAAAGGTGTTTCTGCTTCTGAATCTAAATGCCTAATCTCTGCATGTGTGTATTATATTTTAGAATGAATGTTTGTATGCCGCTTTTTCTCCCCAACCTCTCTTCACCAGGAGTGTGTCACCAAACATCTCAAGCAGATCATCTCCTCTCATTTTCAATGTCATCAATCATACTGGTAATGTAGATTGTTTAGATCCATATGCAAATGGAGTGGATATCCAAATCAGCAATATAGATTACAGATTGTCCAGGAAAGATTTGCAACAGACCTTACAAGAAACGTTCTCTAGGCATGGCAAGGTAAGCTGAAACAATGGCTTTACTCAAACTTTTTGTTGGTGTCATCACATAAATTAGTATCCAAATGCTTACAATATTGTTCTTTTAACGGCTGTTCAGGAACAACCTATGACAGTTGATTAGTAAAGTCTTTGCATAACCAATTTGGTACAGTCAATGAAAAATGAGTAAGCGCTAAAAAGTGAAAGACAAAGTGTTTTGTTCTGTTGCCTTTTACAGAGTAATATGTGTTACATACAGCACTGATGTTACCTGTCTGTCATGGGTTTGGAGGGAAAGTTCCATCCTATGGGGAGTGGAAGGCGGGACATCAGGAGGAGGGGCTGTACTGTATAAATATGTGATGCCTGTGTGGTGAGAGGATGAGATGCTGAGAGACACTGGGATGTGACGAAGCAGCAGCTGGGAAGAAGAAGCTGTTGTGGGACTCTGTGTGTCAGACAGGGTACTACTGTGTGTCAGAGTACCAACCTGATAGGTTCAGGTGTCTGGTGGTTAGCCAGAACTGATAGGTTCAGGGTCTGTGCTTCAAGTTGAGGGTTCTGGGTGAACCAAACTGTGTGTATGCATGAGTGAGAATAAGCCACGTTACTTTATTTTATTCACCTGATTGTTTATTTTTCCCTGTGTGTATTTAAAATAAACCTTATTCTTTTTAATGTTTAAAAATCCATCCCTGGTCTGTGTGACTTCTTAAAGGGAATGGTTGGTGGCAGCTTAGTGTAACTGTGTGACAGGTCCCAGTAGGTCTGGGTTTGTCACAATATGTATACATTACATTTTGAAATTATCTAAAAAGCATTAAATGCCTCCAAGCATTTATAATGGCTTGGCTTTCCATTGTTGTCATCTCGGTTCTTTGCCAGTGATGGGTGAACTTGAAATACTATGCATATTCATGGTAACGATTAGCTCAGATTTTCAATGTGTGATGTTTCGTTATTGATTTCTAACTGTAGGTAAAGACTGTAGAACTCAGTCCTCATACTGACTATCAGCTGAAGGCAATTGTTCAGATGGAGAATCTACAAGAAGCAATCAGCGCTGTCAACAGTCTTCATAGATGTAAAATTGGCAGTAAGAGGATTCAGGTCTCACTTGCTACAGGCACTACCAATAAATCTCTCACATTAGTTAGGTAAAAAAAGATACAGTCTTCTGTTTCACTGTCAATGGAAAATTGAGGACCTCTTATAAAACTGGGCATCTCAAACTTTTATCCAGAAGCAGCCTTCCCCAAAATGGTTCCATCCAGATGTATGAAAATTATGACTATTGTCCATATCCACTTGTTAGGCTAGTTGGGGTTGATGGCAGTTGATTTATTTTAAAATATTTCCTTCCCTAATTGGGAGATCTTAGGGTGGCATGCAGGCAATAGAACAAGTCTAAATTATTTGTGTATCTGAGCAGAATTCAAGAAAACTAAAGTAGAAACAGCTGTCCAATAGGTGGAAAGCTGGCTGTGAATTACACTCCTGAAATCTAGGTTGAACAGCCTCATTTTAACATTCATAGAAGTAAGGCTAACATGGCATGCTCTGGTCCATGGGATTACAAAGAGTCGGACACAACTTAATGACTAAACAAAAACAAAGCTAACATGAAAGCTTGCTGGCTTTAAAGGGAAGAGCACCCCACACCTGGGCACTGGGGCCAAGAGGACCCCCTCTGGCAGGGTTACTATAAATGGTGTACTGCTTCTGATGGTGAAATACAGATGAGAGCTTGCTTGGCAGATCTTAATGTTTGCATGGTTCTATTTGGTATCAAGTATTGCCGTCCCTCGCCATTTAGATTTGTCCCACATATCTGAAGAGGCATGAGCTTGAAGAAGGGTGTAGAGGATGCCAGGAGGGGCTCTTAGTCTTCAGATAAAATTATTAAAAGGTGGAAGGAGGGATTTGTCTGCAGTGTTTGCTGAGAAAGATGGAAGTAGTTAATTCAGACCGCACTACTTCCAAAAAGCTCACTAGGTTAGGACAAGCACAAAAGCAGATGCTGCAAGAATTAGATTCTGTTCATTTGGATGGAGATCAGTCACTGATGTAGGAATCACCAATTTAGCTTTCCTTACATCCTTCATCAGAATTGAGTGCTTAGTTAAGATGTTAGCAGTAAAGTAGGACCCTGTATCTGCAGGGTCAATATCTGCAGTTTCACTTACCTATGGTCTGAAAATATTAAAAATACTAAAAGTAAAAAAATCCAGAAAAATGATGTTCACATGTATTATCAGAACCAGCCGTTAGAGGGAGACAGACCATGCTATGAATACTTGTTAGTGAAGAATACATAGCATAGTCTCTGGTACCCTTCTAGTGGTCAACCCTGGTAATAAATGTGAACATAAATTTTCAGTTTTTTTCCCTTTTACCATTTGCTATTATCCACAGTGTTCAGTATCCATGGGGGGCTTCGAAGCAATCCCCAGAGGATATGGGTGTCCTACTATAGTTGCATGCAGTAGATGGGTCCATCAAGCTGAAGTGTCATTCCTGAAGAATTAAAACACCTAAATTGTACCCGTGCACTTTTGAAGGGAAAAATGTGGATATAGGCCAAGCCAAGATAAAAATAGATAGGAAAGGCAGTGATCCATTGTGCCTATTCTAACACTGGAATATTTCCATTTGTAGTGCAGAAGCAATGTCTATCCTTCAGGATGCTCCAGCTTGTTGTCTGCCTCTTTTCAAGTTCACAGAGATCTATGAGAAAAAGTAAGTTTTGAAATTTGTGCACCAGGTTTAATTTAAATAAATCACATGTGCCTGTAGTGGTCTGTTTTATGGATTATAGTAGTTTTGAAACCAGTATTCTTGGCAGGACTGCAGCATTGTTTACCCCTTCTTGTTTACTTAATCCTTTAAATATTTTTATTCCTAGGTTTGGACACAAATTAAATGTATCAGACTTGTACAGATTAACTGATGTTTTAGCAATCCGTGATCAAGGCAATGGTCGTCTTGTGTGCCTCTTGCTTAGTAGCCAAGCTAGGCAGAGTCCCCTGGGGTCTTCACAATCTCATGATGGCTCTTCTGCTAACTGCAGTCCTATTATATTTGAAGAACTGGAATATCATGAACCCATTTGTAAGCAGCACTGCACAAATAAAGAATTCAGGTAAACTGTGTTTCAGATTCTTCATCTTATTCTGGAATTGGAGTTGCTCATACTTAAAATAATGTGGTATGTTGAATGCATTCAAAAATTTAGGAAGTCTATGTTTCTACTTTGTATGTGTCTTGGATTTTTTTAAGCTATGCAGTTCCAAAATTGTTATTTTTATTGTTTATAACACTAGAGAAGAAGACTTCTCTCTAAAAATGTTTTCAATGTAAAACTAAATAGTAATGACTTAACAGTAGCTTTTCTGGCTTTTGAAAACTCCCATGAGCTGCTTGAAATGTATACTTTCTCTACCCAGCCCAATATCAAACATCTTAAACTTGCGTTTTTGCTTTTTTCCCCCTAGTGAACATGACTTTGATCCTGACTCCTACAAAGTTCCCTTTGTGATTTTGTCTCTGAAGGCTTTTGCGCCACAAGTTCATAGCTTGTTGCAGACCCATGAGGGGACAGTGCCATTATTGAGGTAAAACCATCACTATAGTTCTGTTTCTCAAAGGAACTGTATGAAATCATTTCCCACATAAACACATTAAGTCTTTTTTAAGATTCAAATGCATCTTAAAATTCAAGCATTCTGCTTGTTATATGACCATGCATGGTATGCACTCAGAAATCTAAATGCAAGGACTTCCTAATAGTAAGGTACCAAAGGTCATGTCTTCCTGCTTGTTCTCCAGAATTGTGTTGGTTATGGGGACACGTTGAGAGTGTCCAGACTAGTGAGTCAATCCCTTCCTCACCACTGGTGCTCGGCTCACTCTCTCCCTTCCTTCCCCTGAGACCAAGCCTTCATATTTTGGCATTCCTTTTGTGTAACCTTGTCTTTGAAAAGACGACATTCTGCAAGCGATACAATCCTCACCGCATCCTGAATTCTCAGCTAACATGGTATAAGCACTGGATGCTGCCAGTCCTTTTCAGCGTAGCCTTTTGGTAGTTTCCTTGGCCTGCAATAGACAAGGAAAAACTATGCTTCAAATAATTGCTTACACTGTTCTTCCTCCCTCTCTACTCAATGGTAGTTTTCTCTTCCCTCCTTTAAGAGTTGCCTCCTTTATATCTTGCCACTTCCACTAGTTTTTAATAACTCCTACAACGTCCAGTCCCCAACCACTACTTTCCTGTTTTTTTAACGGAGAACATGCCTTTTAAGATTTTGGTCTGTCGTCTGTTTCCCCCATGTTGTGCCCTTTTATATGTTACCAGAGTGCTGTTTAAATTGTAAGCTTGTAGGTGTTTTTATTTTCTCGTTAATAAAACTACTTTGCACTACCTAGCTTTTGAAGAGATCAGAAATTACCCCAGTTTTCGCCTTCTATTTGTTGGGTGCTGGTCCCTGGTATGCTTTCCATGCCACTGGGCCCTGCTGACCTTTGTCAGAATTACAGTTCTAGTTTGCTGCAGCATGTGGTGTCCCCTCTGTTAACAGACATGGGAAACACACAGCGGTCTGATCTGGCAGCCTAGGACCCAAGAATGTCTGGCCTGCTACTGAATGTTCTTAAAGGAGAGCAGGAACATAGACAAAGGCAGAACCATTAACTAATGCAAAGAAAAAGCAGGGTGACTGTTATTAGAAGATATTGAGAACAGAAGTGAGATGAGCAGCTATTCATAACATTTATCTCCGTAAAGGTAAAGCTAAAGGTTCCCCTTGATAATTTGTTCAGTTGTGTCTGACTCTAAGGCATGATGCTCATCCTCGTTTCCAAGCCGTAGAGCCAACGTTTGTCCGTAGGCAGTTTCTGTGGTCACGTGGCCAGTGCGACTAGACACGGAACGCCGTTAACCTGCCTGTCGAGGTGGTACCTATTTATCTACTCGCATTTTTACATGCTTTTGAACTGCTAGGTTGGCAGGAGCTGGGACGGGAGCTCAGTCCATCGTGTGGATTCGAACTGCTGATCTTGCAGCCCAGAGGCTTTTGCGGTTCAACCTGCAGTGCCACAACATCCCATATATCTCCATACATACCATCAAAATTACCAATCCTGCTTTTCAGGGTAAACTACATGGGTCATAAAATATGTAGCAACTGTCTTCTGTAGCAATTAGTCATAAAACATAGTATTATCATAAAATCATGAAGTTGGAAGGAGCTTATACAGTGGGGTCTTGACTTAAGAACGACTTGAGTTAAGAACATTTTGACTTAAGAACCGCTCTCATAGGAAAATATTGACTTGACTTAAGTACTTAGATTTAAGTTAAGAACTGAAAAAAAAAACCACGTGGGAGGCAGGGAAAGTGTAAAATGGCCAGTGCGACTAGACACGGAACGCCGTTAACCTTCCTGTCGAGGTGGTACCTATTTATCTACTCGCATTTTTACATGCTTTTGAACTGCTAGGTTGGCAGGAGCTGGGACGGGAGCTCAGTCCATCGTGTGGATTCGAACTGCTGATCTTGCAGCCCAGAGGCTTTTGCGGTTCAACCTGCAGTGCCACAACATCCCATATATCTCCATACATACCATCAAAATTACCAATCCTGCTTTTCAGGGTAAACTACATGGGTCATAAAATATGTAGCAACTGTCTTCTGTAGCAATTAGTCATAAAACATAATATTATCATAGAATCATGAAGTTGGAATGAGCTTATAAAGGCCATTAAGTCCAGCTCAGTGCAGGAATACAAATTAAAGGATAGGCATTAACAAAAGGCAGTTTTACAACTTTGCTTGCAGACCAAAGTGTGACTCCAAATTCCTAAATTTCCAAATGATTTTCATTTGATCCAGAGGCAGACATAGGTTACCTCAGATGAAGGTCATGCCAGTAACAGATCAATTTCATATTGTAATAAGATAATCCCTTATAGACAAGCTTGGAGAGCTAATATCTTGCTGTAAGGTTTATCTAATACGGCTGAAATCCTGTTGTGCAATTTACAGTACAATGTATAAAGCTGATGTCATTGTCAGCTGTAGCAGTTTTTCAGAAATTAAAAATGTCCAAGTTTCCTCCCCCACCTCACCCCCCCAGGTCCCATTGATTCAGTTTGATTGTGGAGAAGCTATAGGGGGCCTTGGGACCTAGTGGGAGACAGGTTTAATGCACTGCTGCCAGGGTGACTTTTTTATTTTGGAAAAGTTGCAGTGGCTGATGATGTCATTAGCCCATTATGTTATAAACAAAAAGGCTGAAAAACGAGGCTAAAAGGACTGGTCTAATGTTTTAGTGTTTTAATGTGTGTCTTACAGCTTTCCTGACTGCTACGCCTCAGAATTTAGCAATTTGGAAATGGTACTGGAAGGTCAGGGAGGTGTTCCTCTGGAGCATCTTATCACATGTGTTCCTGGTGTTAATATTGTCACTGCACAAAATGGCATTAAAGTTGTAAAGTGGATACATAACAAGCCACCACCTCCCACTGCAGGTACACACTTCCTTTTTTTTAAAATAGACTCTCTTGTTTATTTGTTGGGTTCTTATTCTTGATATTAGTGATTATAATCAATTGTAATCCCTTCTGTGATTCATGTGCTATGATACAACTGTTTGGATAATGAAGGATGCTATATATTTTTAAATAAATGTAGTCAGAGGCTGTTGGACAGATAGAAAGGGAAGACCAAATATTGAAAAGAATCCCTTACTTCCTGCTCACTTTCAAAGGCAAACGAAACCCTTGTATCAGTGGACATTTTGTTTTAATTTAGTATGGTTAAGATTGACATCTGTGATGCTAGCTGGAATCCTCTTGTGCTGTTACTTAAAAGGCATTGACTTATGAAAGTGAATTGCCTTAAGTCTCCATAGACATTTTCTGTCACAAAACGAGTCCAACTGAGATTTCTTAACTTGAGACAATTTTCATCCAGAAGTTGCTTCTTTTATGTAAGAATGCAACAGGATTTAGACACTGTAGTTAACCCATGACAGATTGAAAGATACTTGCCAAAATTTAAATTATGCCTTCATTCTATTCTTTTTCTGGCCATATTAGTAATGTATTGCACTTGTTTCTATGGAGCTTCAGTTATATCACAGACATTCCGTCAGTTCCAGAATGAATTTTTTGATGAAATTGTCAGGTTTGAGCTGCAATCAAAACCACACACTCAGACAGGAAAATTGGTTTGTTTTTGTAGGGTGGCCTGGGAAGGCAGATCCCAGGAAGCAGGAGAGTTGAGCAAAAGGGCAAACTGGTTGTAGGAGAATAACTCGCTGTGGCTTCATTGCTAGGCCAGGCATTGGGAGCATTTGGCCGCCTCCAAACATTGAGGTGAAGTGAAAAGGCAAGCCAGTTTCCCTCTTAAGTATCGCAGGTATATGTGTGAGGATTATTGGTGGTTTCATTGCTATCAAGAGACCTCTTGTTCCCTGAGTGCAGGTACATGTGTGAGGTTTATTGGTGGTGAGTCCTGGGGTTAGGAGAGCAGTGTTTCTTTGCTATCAAGAGACCTCTTGTTCCCTGAGTTCGTTTTTGATGCATGGAAAACTTGGGTGACTTGGCAGGAGAGTATCTTTTCATGCTAGAACAAGACAGTCATTCCTAAGAAATTCATGGTTGCCAGTGACAACAGAGTAGCTGTAGAACCCTGCCTAGGATGAGAGCCTCTTGAAAAATTTCTTTTTATCACTCACATGAATGGTTAAAAACAAAGCTCATAACCAAGCTACAAAAATGTCCCTTCGCAGTCACATTGCACCAATCCTTGTAATGAACCAAACCTCGTAATGTCAGCCTGTTCCACTCATGAAATATTGGGGACCTCTAAGTATGCTTATATTTCCCCTGTTCTATCTCATTTGCATTGGCTGCCAGTATGCTTCTTGGCCAACTTCAAGGGGCTGATGTTGATATTCAAAGCCCTCAACCGTATAACTGAAGCTCCGTAGAGCAGCTCTCCCTCAGAGCAAACTGCCATCCCACCCACACCTCCCAACCTATGATGTTACAGCTAGCCGCCCCGAGCGTTTATATATGACACAAGGGATTATGGGAGTGAGATGTTTCCTTTTCTTCGATATTTTATTTCATGTATTCTTTTGTTGCAAGCTGCCCAGAGTAGGGGCTTGCCACTAGATGGGTGGGACAAAAGATAAATCAGTAAAATAAGTAATTTTTCAGTGGTGACAAATAAGTGGTCCCTTGAAATGTGTGTGTGAAATACCTTTCTTAAACCCAGTGTTCCTTTTACAATCTGTTCCTAATTTGAGCTGTGATATTCATCATCTTACATTTCTGCCCCTTTCCTCTGAGCACCTGTGTGTTCTCTGTTCTAGAGCCTTGGCTTCTGCGCTCAAAAAGTCCTGTAGGTAACCCACAGCTTATTCAGTTCAGCAGAGAAGTGATTGATCTCCTTAAAAATCAACCTTCATGTATCATGCCAGTCAGTAAATTCATCCCAACATACCATCATCATTTTGCAAAGCAATGTCGCGTGTCTGACTACGGATACTCCAAGTTAATGGAATTGCTGGAAGCAGTGCCTCACGTGTTGCAGGTACGTCTGGTTTACTTTCACAGTTTTGCTGAAACAATATTGATTCTTCAAAAGATTGGTTTTGAACGGGAAGCCTTCATAACAAGGATACAAAATGTAACTTTGTGGAAATATATGGACAGTGATAAATCTGCCTGGAGAATAATTGTATATTTATTTATTTATTTATTTATCATAATTGTATATTTATTTATTTATTTAATTTATACCCTGCCCATTTAGACAATGTATATGTCATAGAAGTTTCATTTTTCTTTCTAGATTCTTGGGATAGGTACCAAGCGCTTGTTAACCTTAACACACAGGGCTCAAGTAAAGAGATTTACTCAAGACTTGCTGAAACTTCTCAAGTCCCAAGCCAGTAAACAAGTTGTTGTAAGGGAGTTCTTACAGGCTTATCACTGGTACGTATAGAGATAGTTGTGGGAAATACATATGATAACTTACCAATATATCAGGAATGTTTAATTTAAACCTTTGGGGATTCAAGGAAGTGGTAGTTCACATAAGAATTTGAGGAATAATGCTTGTTGTGCAAGTCAAAACTGCTGAAGGGCAGTAATAAAAACTACTTGGGGAGATTATGATAAGAGGGTAAAATAATTTCTAAACTTCTGAGGCTGGCCATTACTAAAGGTGGGATGCTAGCACTTTGTGGATTGCTGCTTTAGACCCACAGTACATACAGTATATCAGAGAAGGGACTACATGCCCTCACATTTCATAAATATTTTAGTATATCTTTTCATGTGTCAACACCGAAGAAATGACACTTGGCTACAATGTAAAGCAGTAAGTATACAGCTTGTAGAACAGTGTAAATGTGTTGTCCCCTCAAAGTAACGCAGCACACAGCCATTAGTGTTTAAACCACTGGCAACAAAAGTGAGTACGCCCCTAAGTGACAAGGTCCAAATTGGGCCCAAGTAGCCGTTTTCCCTCCCTGGTGTCATGAGACCCGTTAGTGTCACAAGTCTCAGGTGTGAAGGGGGAGCAGGTGCTATCGCTCTCACTCCTTCAGACCGGTCACTGGAAGTTCCACATGGCACCTCATGGTCATGAACTATCTGAGTATGTGAAAAAATGAACTGTTGCTCTACGTAAAGATGGCCTAGGCTATCAGAAGACTGCCAAACCCCTGAAACTGAGCTGCAGCACGGTGGCCAAGATCATACAGCGGTTTAACAGGACAGGTTCCATTCAGAACAGGCCTCACCACGGTCGACCAAAGGAGTGCCTGTGCTCAGCATCGTATCCAGAGGTTGGCTTTGGGAAATAGATGTATGAGTGCTGCCAGCATTGCTCCAGAGCGTGAAGGGGTGGAGAGTCAGCCTGTCAGTGCTCAGGCCATACGTCGCACACTTCATCAAATTGGTGTCCAGGGCTGTCGTCCCAGAAGGAAGCCTCTTCTAAAGATGATGCACGAGAAAGCCTGAATATGGTTTGCTGCGGACAAACAGACTAAGGACATATATTTCTGGAACCATGTCCTTTGATTTGATGAGACCAAGATAAACTTACTGTATTTGATTCGATGAGACCGAGATAAACTTACTGTATTTGGTTCAGATGGTGTCAAGCGTGTGTGGTGGCAGCCAGGTGAGGAGTACAAAGACGAGTGTGTTGTGCCTACAGTCAAGCGTGGTGGTGGTGGGAGCGTCATAGTCTGGGGCTACGTGAGTGCTGCCAGCACTGGAGAGGTACAGTTCATTGAGGGAACCATGAAGGCCAACATGTACTGTGACAAACCAAATTAGAGCATGATCCCCTCCCTTTCAAGACCGGGCTGCAGGACAGTATTCCAACCTGACAATTACCCCAAACACGTCTCCAAAACGACCACTTCCTTGCTAAAGAAGCTGATGGTAAAGGTGATGGACTGGCCAAGCATGTCTCCAGACCTAAACCCTATTGAACATCTGTGGGGCGTCCTGAAATGGAAGGTGGAAGTGTGCAGGGTCTCTTAACATCCACCAGCTCTGTGACGTCATCCTGGAGGAGTGGAAGAGGACTCCAAGGGCAACCTGTGAAGCTCTGTTGAACTCCATGCCCAAGAGGGTTAAGGCAGTGCTGGAAAATAATGGTGGCCACACAAAATATTGACACTTTGTGCCCAATTTGGACCTTGTCACTTAGGGGCGTACTCACCTTTTTGCCAGAGGTTTAGACGTTAATGGCTGTGTGGTTTAGATAGTAATGGCTGTGTGTTGCATTATTTTGAGGGGACAGCACATTTACACTGTTATACAAGCTGCGTGCTCACTGCTTTACATTGTAGCCAAGTGTCATTTCTTCAGTTTTGTCACATGTAAAGATATACTAAAATATTTATGAAATGTGAGAGCGTGTATTCAGTTCTGTGATATACTGTACATGTTGACCTAGTTTACCTAACCAAATTCCTTATTTCTGATTGACTGAATCCAAGAGCTTCAACGAAGAATTACAGGCAATAGAAAGTTATTTGCATCCTGTGCTGAATATCATTTGCAAAAGTCTTAAATGTTTTTTTTTGTGCTAATTGAAATGTCTTGTGCTTCTGACATTTCCATTTAGGCCAGTGTCACTGTCTTAATATCAGTATTCTGCACTTGCAACTCATTTCTTTCTCATACCTGTAGGTGTTTCTCAAAAGACTGGGATGTAACTGAATATGGAGTTTGTGAGTTGGTGGATCTAATATCAGAAATTCCAGACACAACAATCTGTTTGTCTCAGCAAGATAATGAAATGGTAATTTGTATCCCTAAGAGAGGTATGTCCTCTTTTTTAAGAACTCCAAACTCTTCTTTTAAAAGGCCATAAGTGAATTGGAATGCTAATGTGAGCTAGACTTGAGGTTTATGTAGCTTCTTTTGAGTGAATTAAAGCTTTAAATGGGCAGTGATAGATTTGGACTTGTGTTTACTATATTTGCTTAAAGAATTTTCTATATCACTGTTTATCAAAACAAAGCCAGTATTGCTAGTATTGTAGGCGTTAAGTGAGCTAAATATTGGTCTTATTTTTGCATTCCTTTTCCCATCCACTTCTCAAGTTCTCAGTTTTGCATTTCTTCACTGTTCTTAGAACGTACCAAGGAGGAAATTGAAAGAACAAAGCAGTTCTCCAAGGAGGTAGTTGATTTGCTACGCCATCAGCCTTATTTTCGCATGCCTTTCAATAAATTCATCCCGTCCTACCACCATCACTTTGGGCGCCAGTGCAAACTTGCCTATTATGGATTTACCAAACTACTTGAACTCTTTGAAGCCATACCAGATGTCTTGCAGGTAGGCTGCAGATATCCTAGGCAGAGGTGGGCAGTTAGCAGTCCCAAAGTTCATGATTGCTTCTGATGGTTTTTGTTAACATTTTGGAAAATTCCAAAATCCTCCATTAAAATCTTTCTACAATTTGTTGTGAGAGACATGGGTCAGTTTTAAGTTAGAGGTGGGAAGCCTCAGGCCTTGTGGCTAATTCTTGTTTTCTGGGGTTCCTTGAGTGGCCACACTGGTTTCCCATGACATCATCACTTGGTTTCAGGTTTTCCATTCTAAACATTTAAAATGCCTTTTCTAATGCTTACTTACTGCCAGTAAGACCTTCAGAGTCAAATGTGCTCGTCCTAACCTTTTGGTGCACCCACCCTCTGTAGAACTGTAATCTCTGGCTGGCAGATCTTCCACCGTTGTTTTAAATGTAGTTCCTGTAATGCAGAGTTAGGGAAGCAAGTGCTCTCAACTGGATTGTGTTTATGGAAGTCTAGTGTTGGATATTGACCAGTGTGTGCAGTAGACAAAACACCTCTTTCAGCATACTGTTCTAATGCATGGCAGGCTTTGAAAATAAATTGGTTTGTTTTGAAAATGCTAGCATACCTATGTAAGTAGTTGGAGAGGAAAAGAGTTGCAAGGTTTTTCAATTGGTGTCTTGAAGCTTGAATTTAATTGCAAAGAAAAACGACACACTGCTAATACTACATTTCCATAGTGCACAAGCACCACTTTCTCTGTGGTCACTCTATACAGTAATTTCCTTAATAGCACTGACTTTCACCTTCAGGTACTGGAATGTGGAGAAGAGAAGATGCTTACTCTAACTGATGTAGAACAGGTGAAAGCTTTAGCTGCCCAGTTTGTTAAGTTGCTCCGATCTCAGAAGGACAAATGCCTTATGATGGCAGATGTACTTACAGAATATGCTAAAGCGTTTGGCTACTCACTGCGTCTCCAGGACTACGATGTTGGCTCTGTTCCAGCTCTAATGCAGAAACTTTGCCATGTTATCAAGGTAAGGTTTCCTTTGAAATATAAGAAAACTTGGTGTGAGCAGTGTTGATTTGATGAAGCCCTGGAGTGTTGAGAGGATTTCTCTTCAAAGGATGGCATACTCCTTTGAAGAGAAATCCTGTGGTGTAATACTTGTAATACTAGAAAGTGAAATAAAAGATGTTCTGAAATTACTGGGGAGAAATAAATCACCCAGGGTAGTTGGATTATCGGTAGAACCATTTCAAACCACTGAGACGAAATCTATCAAAAACCTTACAACTTCAACAAATATGGGGAAACAAAACAATGGCCCACAGACTGTCAATATTCAGTCCCCAAGAAAGGCGATGCCAAGGAGTGCAGCAACTATAGGACCAATGCTCTGACTTCCCAAGCTAAAAAAATGATGCTCAAATGTTGCAACCAGGGCTTTTACTTTCTATGGAGTCAGAAATGCCTGATGTTCATTCCAGCTGGATTCTGAAAAGGATCACATTGCAAATATCTGCTGGCTAATGGGCGTACAAAATATTTTCAGTGTTTGCTTTATGGACAACAGCAAAGCCTTTTTGACTGTGGATCATGAGAAGCTGTGGATTTTTCTGAAAGAAAACGGTATAGCTCACAACTTGATAAGTAACCTGTATTGTGGATGAAAATCTATTGTTAGAACAGAATGTGGAGAGAGAAAATAGTTTCCTGAAGGCGAAGGAGTTGGACAAGGGTGCATTTTGTCTCCCTTTTCTACACAGAACATATCATACAGAGAGCTGGATTAGATTCATATGGAGGAGAGAAAATTGGTGGAAGAAATATTTCATATATGCAGATGACACACCATCTTATGGGCAGAAAGTACTAATAATTTGAAGCACCCGTTAGTGAGAGTGAAATAAGAAAGTGCCAAAGCAGGACTGCAATTGAAAACTAAGAAGACAAAATCATGACTACATAAAAACTACACAACTTTAATTATGACAATGAACAATTTGAAATTGTTAGAGATGTTGTATACACAGGTCCAATCATCAGTCCAAATGGAGAGTACAGCCAAGAAATCAGAAGACGACTAAGACACAGAAGGCCAGTAGTGATGTGGGATAAAAATGTCAAAACCTTGTAATAAAAGTTTTTTTAAAGGAGAACAGGTATAATATATAAAATATTGATAGAGGTAGAAAATAAATCCAGTGCTCTTAAAGAGGTGTGGCAGGGAGATTTATATGAGGAAATAAGTGTTGAAGATTGGAAGAAGATGTGGATTAAATGAGTACTGAAGGATTAGGGAAAACTGTTATAAATTAATAAAAAGAATTAATCTAAGAGCCTCGTGGCGCAGTGGTTAAAACGCTGTACTGCAGCTAAAACTGTGCTCACGACCTGGGGTTCAAATCCCAGGTAGCCGGCTCAAGGTTGACTCAGCCTTCCATCCTTCCGAGGTCGGTAAAATGAGTACCCAGCTTGCTGGGGGGGCAATGTGTAGCCTGTATAATTAAAAAAAATTGTAAACCGCCCGGAGAGTGCTTGTAGCGCTATGGGGCGGTATATAAGTCCAATAAATAAAGGGATCATTCTTATGTATGGTGTTTACTGAAATTGAATTTCTTGAATAATGAAGTACCATCTGTTTCATGGAGATGTAAAAAAATGTTTGGTATATATCTTCATATGTGATGTACATGTGAAATGATGCAGAAAGATTGGACAATGGTATTAAGGTAAAGAAAATGATGGCTATAAATATACAAGAGTGTCCAATGATAGCTTTGCTAAACATGTTTAGAAATACTCAAATAGACTGAGAGAAAAAACAGAATTAATTACTATTGTGATAACTGTAGCAAGATGGATATTTGCAAGAAATTGGAAGAATAACCATTTTAATATAGAGAGATGGTACAGAGAAATATGGAATATTGTAATTAATGATAAATCAACATGCAAATAAAAAATTAGAAAAGCAATATTGAACGTAAATCATTTTTAAAATATATGGCATGTATTTCTAGAATATGTTTTGGAAAAGGGAAAGGTCAAGACAAGATTCGTTATATTTTTGGAGAGAAATGGGATACATACATTAGAAAGATTGATTTTTTTTAAAAAGGTTATATTCCCAAGGGTGGACAGGTGCACTGAATGTAATATGTATTTTGTGTTATGTTTTAAATTTGGTTTGAATTTTTTCTTTCTTCGTTTGTATTATTTTTAATGTTTAGTTTTTAAAAATTAATTAAAAAACTGAAATGGCGCACTAATTTGAACCATTTAATGCTCTCAGGCACCTCAAGTGCTAGGTGATATTTCAGCCATAGCCTTGGTTAAAATATGGTACAGTTACTTAAGTATTCAGGTCCTAAACCTCTTCGACCTGAAGACCTTGCTATTAGAAGTAACTGATATCCCTGTAGTGTTTATCTCTAACCACTTTACCTTACACTTTAATAAACTTTGCTTTTCTCTTCCATTGTTTAAACTTCTGCAGGTTGTCGATACAGAACGTGGTAAACAGCTCCAGCTCATAAATAAGAAATCTCTCCGGACTTTGACTGCACAGCTTCTGGTGCTTCTGATGACCTTGGATGAAGACACCGGTATTTCTGTTGATGAACTTAAGAGACACTATGAAACCACCCATGGTGCTCCACTTAACCCTTGTGAATATGGCTTCATGACATTTACTGATCTCCTGATGAATGTGCCTTATTTTATTGAGGTGAGAAAGTAGCCTGGTTCCTAAGGGCTGGCATGATGCCTCTCAATTTATGTTGAATATTGTTCATTCATTGATGAATCAGTTTCAGACAGGTTAATGACTAATTAAATTTTCTAACTCTAGTCCAACATTCTGTCCACAGCATGACACTGAATACTGGCAGTAGCAAAATGAATCTTCTTTTTAGTAGGATAATTTTAGCAGCAATTAAAAACATTTGGGGTTAATCACCAGGAGTGGATTTTTGTCTGAAACAATTTCTGAGTTCCAATTCAGTTCTTGTACTTAATACAAATCCCTGGGCCTTTCATTCAGTTCCTTAATTCTAAATACCTGGCTGCTGTATCAGACTTGGAGTTCTAATAAAAAGTGTTAGAAATACCAGAACTCTGAAGTCTTCCCACCCATGCAGTAGATCAAGATCACAAAGAAAAAGGATTAGAAGAGGCTTCAGGCACTAATTATAGAGACAAAAGTAACAGCAGCTATTGAACATCTAGGCTGGATGATTTCATGGCAGTTCAGTCTTGAGTGGATAGTAAAATAGATTAGGAAACATAGGGAACCAGGTTGAACTGTTTATATTTGTCAGTTTTACCTGTTCTCACTGGTAACAGCTGCACCAGAGTTTAAGGCAAAGGTCTTGCTCATCGCTTGCTTGCCAGCTCCTTCTAACTAGAGGTGCATGAGACTGAAACTTGAGGCCTACAAAAGTGTATTCTCCACCTTTAAGCTAGGAGCTTAACCAACCTTGGAGAAACAGATGTGGTTTCTAGCCAGAAGAGGCACAGAAAACAAGATGAGACAAATTAAGCAACTAGAGAGTTGACAATAACAAGGGATCATTCTTATGTAGGAACAAGATGATAAACTATTAATACAGAAATCAAAGCAACAGAGGGAATGACTCTGGAGGACAAGATGGTTTTAAGGCAAGGAGAAAATAATATCCAAAGCCTGATAATCAATTTTGGCCTCAAATGTGAAGAATACCATGCTTTTGATTTGATAGTGTCTAAAGGAAGAAGCTGAAATGAGAACTTCCTTTTTAGGCCTGAGCAAGCACCCTGCAGTGCTCTTACTGTCTGATAGTTCTCATTTTTTGCCAAGGGGAGAAAGGAATGTATTTTGAGCAGGCAAGTCATGTGGAGCTCCAGTAAGGCCCCTGCAATGTGGAATCCTTAGTGATACTTTCAGTGAAGATGCTTTAGATTTTCTTCTCTGCCTATTCTTCAGTATTGTTTATATTCTTCCCCTCCCTCTTAGTTTTCTGTGTTTTATTATTACTTTGCCATTTGCATAGTTGGGAACAAGCTGAATTAGTGGTAACTCTGCTAATTAGGGCCTGTCTTTATACGGTATGTGAAGTAAATAAGTTTGTTTTGATATTTATATTTTAAATAAAATGAATTTAATTATGTTTTATTTTGAATACATTTTGATAATTAGGATGTCATTTTAGTTACTGAAACCTTCAATTAATTAGTGGGAGGAAGAAGGTTTGGGTATCAATCTTGCTTATGAACTAAGATAAGGAGCCTTGTTCTTTCTAAAGAAGATAAAAGGATGGCATACTTCTTTGAAGAGAAGTCCTATGGTATAATACCTGCAATACTAGAAAGTGAAATAAAAGATGTTCTGAAATCACTGGGAAGAAATAAATCACTTAATTATGTTTTATTTTGAATACATTTTGTTAATTAGGATGTCATTTTAGTTACTGAAACCTTCAATTAATTAGTGGGAGGAAGAAGGTTTGGGTATTAATCTTGCTTATGAACTAAGATAAGGAGCCTTGTTCTTTCTAAAGAAGATAAAAGGATGGCATACTTCTTTGAAGAGAAGTCCTATGGTATAATACCTGCAATACTAGAAAGTGAAATAAAAGATGTTCTGAAATCACTGGAAGGAAATAAATCACCCAGGGTAGTTGGATTCTCAATAGAACCATTTCAAACCACAGAGACGAAATCTATCAAAAACCTTACAAGAATATTTCAACAAATATGGGGGAACAAAACAATGGCCCACAGACTGTCAATATTCAATGTACAATTCAGTCCCCAAGAAAGGAGATGCCAAGGAGTGCACTAACTATAGGACCAATGCTCTGACTTCCCATGCTAACAAAATGATGCTCAAATGTTGCAACCAAGGCTTTTACTTGCCTGAACTATCTCTGGAGGCAAAAATGTTGAAACTGAGGCTCTCCTTTGGGCACATGATGAGAAGGCAGGATTCTCTGGAAAAGGCAATAATGCTAGGAAAAGTTGAAGTTAGCAGGAAAAAGAGCAAGACGAAATATGAGGTGGATTGACCATCAAGGAAGCCACAGTCTCCAGTTTACAAGGGCTGGCCTGTTTTTACTCAAGAGTTTTCCTGAGCTAGTATAGGAGGAAAGAAAAGCAACTTCCTTTTGAAATCTTTCCTGATCCTTGTCTCTTGTAGGCTTGGTTTATTGTCAGTGTGTTTAGTTGCATACATATAATTTGTGCTTCTACATAAAAACATACATTTTAATACCTTGAAGGTCTGTGATTTTGTTGATTCAGCTCATCCCTCCAGATCACTGAATAATTGTGTTCATAGGTGCTGTGACCAGGCCAACATCTGGTGATGACATTCTCTGTACTTAGCCAGGGTTGATGTTTTGTGGGAAATTTGCATTCCTTAAGAATAGACTCAAAATCTCACCAGCTTTCATTTGTCTACTATCAGTTAATGGCTTTTTGCTAGCAGCCAGAGTGCCAGAAATACCATTGTTCTGGGATGTTTTGTATTTGCATTCCTTCTCTTAAGAATAGACTGAAAATCTCACCAGCTTTCATTTGTCTACTATCAGTTAATGGCTTTTTGCTAGCAGCCAGAGTGCCAGAAATACCATTGTTCTGGTATCTGCTCTGTTATTTTGGCTTGTGACTTAGTTGTTATTTCTTTTAATTTTAGATACTTCTAGTATGTTTTTTTCTGAGACTGTATACTGCAAGTGGTGTTGGGTATTCTTTTGGTGAAAAGCAAGACCATTTTTCCTTAGTGCTCTCTTTCCTATATAATTAATATGTATTAATGTGTTATTACCGTATTTTTTGCTCCATAAGACACACTTTTTACCCCCAAAAAAGTGGGGGGGAAGCATGTGCATCTTATGGAGCGAATACAGTAAAAAAGGGTTCAGCCACCACCACCCAGAAGCCTCCCACTGCCGTGCTGGGAGGCCTCTGAACTGGCACCAGAGACTGCTTGCTGTTTGGACCTCACCATTCTGTATTGCTAGCTTCCCAGGATCTGCTTCATGCAACCCGCCTGGAAAACCAGCAAGGCTAACAGGCCTATGGCAGCAGTCAGTGAAAACAGCCAAGAACCAAAGGGGAAAGATTAATTCTAGAAAGACCAGGGAAACCGCAAACATAGTCCCCTACTTAGGCAGTTGATTTTCCCACATTTGGGGAAATCACAGGGGTCAGCACATCCAGAGTGCAATAGATGAGCCTTGCCCTGGGAAAATCATTTACAATAATGGTATCTCCCCTGCCAGGCATGAGTTGGAATGGCCCCTCCAACTCCTGCCCCTTTCTGTGCTCTGTCCCCCAAAGGCATGGTGACCCCCAGCTGTACCTTTTGATCAGAACAGGGCTGCATAGCCCCAGTCCCGAAAGAGGCCAGGAGAGCTCTTCAGTGTTTTGGGGTGCCCCACAGGACCACCA